AGCCAAATGGGTGGTGAAGATGGGGGAACATGATATTCACTACAAACCTTGCATTGTCATGAAGGGACAGGTGCTGACAGACTTTATAGCGGAGTTTTCCAAGGGAAAACCACCTCTCCTTGAGGAGGAACCCCTCTCTTTGGGAAGGAGCCCTCGGTGGCCAGCTAGGAACTCTCCTTAAACCTCTGCGTAGATGGATCCTCCAACAACAAGGGTTTCGAATCAGGGCGCTGCTAGTCTCCCCGGGGGGAGTGGTCACAAAACAAGCTGTCTGGCTAGGCTTTAAAGCATCCAACAATGAAGCGGAGTACGAAGCCCTTATTTTCGGAGTCAAACTTGCTGATGCAACAGGAGCTACAGAGTTGACTGTCCACTGCAATTCCATGTTAGTGGTCAACCAAATCAATGGAGAGTTCGAAGTGAGGGACTCCAGAATGAAAGCCTACCACCACGAAACAATGGACTTTGCTCCACAAGTTCAAAAAAATTAAAGTCAAGCAAGTTCCTCAAGATAAGAATGCCCACGCTGACGCTTTGGCATGTCTAGCCTTGGCGCTGGACTCCACCATGACACGAAAGATCACCATGGAGTACCTCCCCAACTCCATCATAGACGAAGTCCCTAGAGTGGCCGCTGTCCATGAAGGAGAGGAGTCCTCTAGCTGGATTGATCCACTACTCAAGTTCCTCTTCTCTGAAGAGCTTCCCAAATGCCCCAAAGAGGCTAGGAAGATAAAGTTAAGAGCTCTGAGGTTCTGGACCTCTCTGGATCAGAAGTTATACCAAAAGTCATTTTTTGGACCAAATCTGGTTTGTGTCCATGAACATAATGTCGAGCCACTCCTGTACGAGGTACATGAGGGCATATGTGGGAGACACTCAGGTGCATGATCCATGACTCACTGTATCATGTCCCAAGAGTACTGGTGGCTGCGGATGCAAAGGGACGAGTAGGCCTATGTCTAAAAATGTGATCAATGTCAAAGGTTCGCTCCGGTTATTTGACAGCCAACTGGGGATTTCCACCCATTAATTAGTTCTTGGCCATTTTTCCAATGGGGACTCGACTTGGTCGGACCCCTGCTAAGGGCTCCCAAATACAAGAGGTTCCTGATAGTGGGAACCGACTATTTCATGAAGTGGGTTGAGGTGGAACATTTGACTCACATCAAGGACGTGGACACTAAGAAGTTCATGTGGAGAAACATAGTAACAAGATTTGGAATCCCCCGCGCGTTCGTGTCAGCTAAAGGGACCCAATTCAACAGTAGGCCCTTCAAGTTTTTTTGTAAGCATCTTGGAATCTGGAACTACTACTCCACCCCTACATACTTATAAGCTAACGGTTAGGCAGAGTTCTCAAACAAGACTATCATCAATGGAATCAAGAAGAGACTGAAAAATGCTAAAGGAAAATGGGTGGATGAACTCCTAAACATCCTCTAGGCGTACAAGACCACCCCTCAAACCTCAACAGGAGAAATGCCTTACACTTTCGCATACGGGGTGGTGGCAGTCATCCCACTGGAAATAGGCTTCCCTACCATAAGAACACAAGCCTTCAACACCGGGAGCAACGATCACCAACTCAGTTTGGATATGGACCTCATGGAGGAGAGAAGAGAAGTGGCCACCTTGAAATTGGCTAAGTATCAAGAGGGGGTGTCCAGACTCTACAATAGGAGGGTCAAGCCCCACAAATTCCAAATAGGAGATTTGGTGCTCAGAAGGGTGGTGGCAAATACCCAGGACCCAGCAGATAGAAAGATAGGACCCAATTGAAAAGGTCCATACAAGGTCACGTCAGTAGGGGGCTCCGGCTCATATAAGCTAAAAAGATATGGAATGAAGTGTTATAATACAACCTTAGAATGTAATGAATTTGAAAAAATACTACTTTTGATAAATAAAAGACTCATCTTCATGCTAAGTGTTCCATTTTGGAAGGGCATGGCCTTGGAGACGGAGTCTTAGGGATTCCTACCTCCAAATAAAGACCAGAAGCTCGCCTCCTAGAAGGGGCATGGCCTTGGAGGCAGAGTTTTAGGGACTCCTACCTCCAAATGAAGACCAGGAGCTCGCCTGCTGATGAGTGAGTTTTATACCTACGAATAGAGTATTTTCGATTTGATGAAATTGTAAGTTTTCAATTATCTTATGTACCTTTTTTATTTATTTTGTGTGTTTTTATGTTATTTTGTAGGGATGATCATTTGAAAGGAATCATGATTATTTGGGAGGAAACAAGGTCAATTTGGAGCCAAAATATTGAATTTTTGAAGAGGAAGCAACAAGGGCATTTTAGGCTTAATTGGGGGGGGGGGGGGGGCGTCCCCTAATGCCAAAACTGGCACCACTGCACCAACATTCTGTCCAAAAGGCACCCCTGCACTGATTTTTGGCACAGCTGCGCTTGTGTTGGTCTATGACGCGAATTTTGACTTGTTTTTGACCCGAAATTGGACTCTAAAGTTACATATATGCTAGGGTTTGTATGGAGATGATATATTCTGAATTTTGGGGGCTGAAAACATCTGGAAAAACCAAAGAGTTGATAGAAAATTGAAGACAAGAATAGAAGGAATCGACACGAAGAAGATTGGTCTTGAAGGCTAGAGAAGGATTGAAAATTACAACTAAGTTTTCATTATTTTCTCTTACTTTTACTTCTTAATTTTCTAAGATGTTGTTTAATATGAGAATGATGTTTTTCAATTAAATTATGAACTAAATCTTTATTAAGATTGCAATGGAACCAATGTCTAGTTAAATTGATCTACTCTCGTTTCTATTTCTTATTGATCATACTTGAGTTATTTGTCATATTTTGTGCTTAATATATGATTGTGTGACCAACAATTAATTTGATTTCTTAGATGAAATTAGGAGATGAATTCTAGGGATAGATCCGAATATGATGACATGTGTTTGGTTAATTCTTCTTAGGATTGAATAGTTGGGTTTGTGTATAGGATATAAATATACCCATATACCGTGTGTAACTTTTATGAGAGTTTGAACTTAATGAATCTATTCTAACTTATTTTTCATAGGAATACAGTAATTTAATTGGGAGAGATAATTTTATCTAACTATCGGAAGAGGTTTGATAAATAACTTTGAGTTCTCAGTTAACAACTTATTTTGATCAATTAACAAGAAAGAGAGTTAGAAAGATTTATACGAAGCATTAGGGGAAGTTGTAATCTTAAGTTCTTTTACCCGGTAAATTCAACCGTTGATTATTAAGTTTAGGTTTAGTTTTAAATTAGTAAATTCATAGTTCAATTCCAGTTATTTAAATAAAATTGAATTGATATAAAGTTAGTACTTGAAATTTGTTAGCAATAATTCTCCATGGGAATGATACTCTACTTATCACTTTACTACTTGTTGATCGTGTATACTTGCACGTAAATTTTTAATATCAAATTCGGACAACACCTGCTAGAAGGGGCATGACCCTGGAGGTGGAGTCTTAGGGACTCTTGCCTCCAAATGAAGACCAGGAGCTCGCCTCTTAGAAGGGGCATGGCCCTAGAGGCAGTCTTAGGGACTTCTGCCTCCAAATGAAGACCAAAAGCTCGCCTCTTGGAAGGGGCATGACCCTAGAGGAAGAGTCTTAGAGACTCTTGCCTCCAAGTAAAGACCAGAAGCTAGCCTCCTAGAAGGGGCATGGCCTTAGAGGAAGAGTCTTAGGGACTCATGCCTCCAAATAAAGACCAGGAGCTAGCCTCCTGAAATGGGCATAGCCCTAGAGGCGAAGTCTTAGGGACTCTTGCCTCCAAATGAAGACCAGGAGCTAACTTCTTGAAAGGGGCATGGCCTTGGAGGGAGTCTTAGGGACTCTTGCCTCCAAATAAAGACCAGGAGCTTGCCTCCTAGAAGGGGCATGGCCCTAGAGGCGGAGTCTTAGGGACTCTTGCCGCTAAATAAAGACCAGGAGCCTGCCCCCGGGAGGGGTATGATCCCGAAGGAGGAGTTCGATCCTCCCTGGAGGGGTAATACCTCTCATAAAATGCATCACTTGGAATGGGGGTTCTTTGTCATATAGTATTCTACGAACCAAACGTGGATAGTTGAAAGTTTGTCTCGTCAGGGATCCTCAAGCACACGCCTGGCTAAGTAAATGAAACCTGGGGAAGAATTGTCCAAATAATGTTCTTCTATCCTAGCACCATGATCACTGCACCTTTGGAAGTTAGGAGGAGGAAGGTCGCAAAAAGGGTGACCGACATCTAATGTGGGTGTGGCTGCCCCCCAATGTTCCCCCACATACCTGGTAACCGATTAGCTTTGGTGAGGTGAAGTCCACCCTAGTAGCGGACAAGTGCAGGAATATGAATCTTTGTGTCAGGGTATTGGTGTCTACTTGCACAAGTACATGGGCGGGGTTGTCAGGACCCAGTAATCCATTTATCAAGGAATCTGAGCTAGATAATAGTAGGGATGAGGGGTCAACACGATCCTCTCAATTCAACGGGCAAGGAAGACAATGCTAACTGAAGTGAAAAGTATGTTGAGACTGGAGGAGTTTGTACTGCAGCTATTGAGTTTGTTGGAGAGTCAACTTGACAAAGATAGCTATTGTATTTCTCCATAAAGCATGCCAACACCATTGGCCTATCTTCCCTACACAGGAAGTATAAGGCCGAACGACAGTCGAGGTACCTCCACGTACTCTCGGCGTAAACACTCATCAAGATCCACCATGACTGACACATGTCCCCACCGCTGAGATACCTCCATGCATCCCCGAAACAAATAGTCTATGTGAAACATACAAGTTACAAGTTTTTTCAAGGTTTTTTGGCTTGAATTTCAACACTTGGGAGTTTTAGAGTTACGAGTTACAAATGTGGAAAAGTGAAAAGAAAGGAAGCATACATGATCAAGGCAAAATCATCTTTCATTCCAAAAAGAGGAGAGGGCTTTGCTCCCCCCGAGCTACAAAACTTGGAAGAAAAAGATTACAAATAAAGAAAGAGAAAAAAATATGCCTAGGGCACAGGGGGAGGCCCACTCACTTCACCATCGATCTCTCCACTAATATCTCCAAATAGTTTGTCAATGCTAGTAGAGAGGGGGTTGGCAGTGATAGCCTTGGTCTGGGGCATCGGGGCTGAAGCATTCACAGGGGCTGATGCTGGAGCCGAAGTAGGAGGAGGAGCCTGGGGAGGAGTAGCGTTAGTTGATGCCGGGTGTACAATAGCAGTAGTTTGTGCCGAGCTATGCACTTGGGCGTTTTCAGCCCCTTCAACTGCCCCTCCCACAGAAGCTGCCACTATCTCTGCAGAGGAGACATAAATGTGCTCTGAAACACTAGAGAGTCCTTAAGCACACCAGCAACTTTCAGAGCTTCATCCCATCCCTGCTTAAAATACTCCCTCTTCTGCTCTTCAAAGGTTACTAGGATATCGTCGACGCATTGATCCACGATCTCTTGCCGAGTCTTGCTAGCAACCTTTAGTGCAGCCCAGACTCTTTTTAGCTCCTAGGTAAGGGCACAACAGGTCTGTTTGGCTTCGTCACCTTGGCCTCTAACGCCAAAAACTATTTAGTTGACTCCATCAACTTTCTCTCGGCATTGATGAGGGCAACGGTTGTTTTGTCGGTATTCCCCTTGGCCACCTCTGCCTCTTTAACGAGTTTAGCAATTTGGGTAGCCTGGGAAGACAAGGTGTTGTCCCTCACCGCCACTTCCTCCCTGGTTGTTGCATGGATTAAACAAACAAGTGGAATAGAGGATGGAAGGGGACTGTGGCTTGAACACTTACCACCAGTGAGCTCTGAATGATGTTGTGCAAAAGTTGGTTAAGTGGTCTCCCCCGGTGTTCTTCCATATCGGCATTGAAGAGGAGTTCTCACTCACGCATAGGCCACGTGAGGAGGATGGATGATTGAGTTAGAGACTCGGATCGGTCTGTTGTCACAATCCCCAGCCCGAGGGCGCCACTCCTCAGCTTGATTCATTGGCACTGGAGGAGGAGGTGGTGTTGGTGTTGTTGGAGTTATTGACGCTGGAGGCAGAACAAGAATACCTCTGCCTCGGGCGACCCCGTCATGTCTATGTTTTACTTTCTTCTCCTCTTCATGTTGAGGTTCCTTTTCGTAACCTCGGCCACGACCCGTGGACCTTGGAGGTGGAGGGGCATTGATGAGAGGAGTCCTTTTGGGCAGTGGAGGAGGAGGCTCGTTGGAGCTAGATCCTCAACCCCTTGCAACTCTGAGGGCTGCTCGTTGCTTGATGAGGTTCAAGTCGATGTGATAGTCTAACATTGCAACTTCAAATGCGTTTTCTACATTTAGATTGCAAAGAACTTCAAAATTCGGCCAAGCCTCCCTCACCGTCAACAGCAATGGAGGGGCCTCTGATTTCAATAACTTTGTCGTCGCCCTCTTCCTCGGTGGCCTCGTCTTTGGCAACCCCTTCTACCTCTGCTTTTGTGGCCCTATTGGGGTTGTTCTCCAAGTTCTCCGTAACAAACTTTGCCTTCCGCCAATAGATCAAAGTTATGTGGAGTTTGGGTGAATTTCTTATATCCCATAACGTAGTCGAGGAGGAGATGTGGCGCTGGGCCCGGACCCTTGTTTCCCAAATTGTTCCAGACGAAGGTGATGTCATCGATGTTGACTTGGTTCCAAGGAAGAGCGATTGTCTCGGCGTCAGGGATTCCTGAGACAACAACGTCACAATTGTCAATTACAAAGTGTTATGACATACAAGTGAAGAAATTGAAACAAAGAATGAGAGAGAACAGTTGACATACTCGTAGTCCTCCATTGCTTGGGGCACCACAAGTCAACAACGTACTCGAGATCGAGTCCTCTCTCCCATTGACCACCGAAGATAAGGAGGTTATCTTTGTACCCCTTATTAGAATTTGAAAGATGGTTGACAAGGTATATTGTGGGGTCTCGAGCCTTAAGGTGATAAATTTGCTGAGGCATGACTCTCACCAAGGCATAGCAGAAGAGGATGTCATCCAGGCCAAGGTGCAGGTTCAATCGTTCGTTCAAGGCAACCACCCCCATGATGATCCTGAACGTGTTAAGGCAACACTGCCCCAGGAAGAGTCAAAACTGGTACAAAAAACATAGAAGGAGGGAATGAAGAGGGAACCTGATGCCCCCTCCATAATGGCCTTGGTGTAGAAGGGCATCTCGGCCTCGGTGCTGATGGTGGCACTGTAACGATCGGCCTTAAAGTCATCTACGGTCACCTCGGGGGAATAGAGTAATGGATCTTGAAGTTTACTATCTGTTGTTGGCCCTTGATAATGTACTTTCTGGGCCGATAAGGACCGGCTTCGTCGGCCTCAACAACTCTACTCGAACGACACCTTGACATATCTCAGGTAGAAGGAGGAGGTCCTATAGGGTGTTTTCTCAGATTGACAAACCTAAGGGACACTACTGAAGATAAAATGACACGTGGGAAGGTGAAGGGACCAAGCTGTCCTATCGAGACTAGGGTGAAGAGAAGGTGGAAGACGATGGGTCGCCAAAAAAATAGAAAAAGAAAAGGAGAAAATTTAAAAGAGAAAAATGGAATGAGAGAGCTCACCAAAGTCAGAAAGTGCACAGGCAATAGCCAAAGGTCTTCGTCTTCAAGAAATGGTGAGGAAATTGGCAGCAACACAAGTGGTTAGTGATGACTTCGATGAGAACTTCGGCGATGTTTGTCTCTTCAGGCGACTGAGTTTTCGAAAGTAAAGAAGAAGGGATTGAGTCCTGTTTATTTAGGATCTGTCCCCATCATTGCGCATGAAACACGAGAAGGGGCGCATTCAATGTGCATGACCTTTGGAGGTGAGATTGTGGCTATGCAATGATGAGGCAGTTGAGCCCTTTCATCTTTTAAACGACACGTCTCCCATGTCGTACGAAGATCAAAGGCTGGGTGGCAGTTGATGAGACACTTTTGAGAAAGGAGAAGGTTTTGACACATGCCCTCGGCACCGAGGGCACACTCCCAAGCTCTTTGACGAAGCACGTGTCCTCAGCACCAAGGACACGATCGAGTTCATAATGTTGCCATGTGTCCTAGGCACCAAGGACACCTTAGGACACGTCACCTCAGCTACTGGAAAAGGTCGTTGATAGTTGCAGCCCATCAATCTCAGAGTTAGACTATATATCATTGGTTTATTTTCCCCAAGAAGGTCAGAATGACAGAGTGCACAACACCAGCAACCAAAGGGAGTTAGATGCGTGGCATAATGTACAGGACCAAGAGTATATTGGCAGAAATATCCATGCTGACATGCAGCTATCCATAGAAGCCATTAATGGATCCTCAAAAGGATGGGACGCCCATGGTGACTTATAAAGCCTAGAAAGAGGAGTGTTAAATTCTCCAAAGACTAAGCATTAATGTCTCTACATTGAAGAAAGAGCATTAAATGTTTGGGAGGTCGAGTGTTTAATGCTTGGACTTTGTCCCTGCAAAAGAGGAAGGTGTGCTGCCCAATGACTAGGCACTGCATACTACCTACTAGCTTGTAATGATGAACTCCATAGAAGGTATAAATAGCCCTCTCAAACTCAACATAAAGGTATGCAAAATCACTTCTCTGAACATACAATGTCTTTTTTTCCCCTCTCTCACAGAAACTGACTTGATCGTTGGAGGGAATACGCCAGAAAACACCCCGATGTCCTTTCTAACCCCTCTTTTTGGTGCAAGGAACCATCAATGCTTCACTGGGATCGGTCTGATAGTCCCTAAAGCAATTAATCACCACTTCTTAGACTGCTTTGACCTTCCTTTGTGGCGAGATCGTCAACTTTTGAGGTAAATACAAGTCCACCAAGGGAGAGATCTATTTTTATCTATTTATTGTGCGAAAAACACCCTGCACACAAACATATAAATGAAGTATAGGAATTTTTTTGGCTCCTTTCCTGTTTTTGAATTGAATAATTACTCTTAGGTGCACATGTATCTGTGTGCTTTGTTTGGTTTCATGTATCTTTGAGGTTTGTTTGGTTGATTCTTAGTTCACGTATGAATGGAGGATGAATACTCTTATACCATTTGATTTTTCAAAATTTCCCTTCTTTTTTCATCGTTTTCTATGGTTTGTATGGGCTTTATGAAGTGCAAAACCTTTTTAACGCATGCTGCTACAAATCTGAAGTGTAAAGTGATCTCATGTTTGGCACTTCTGTTGATTATTTTGGTGGAAAGTGATCTCATGTTTTTGTTTCATTTTTTTTGGGTCATACAAAGCCAATGTTGCCCTAGCTTAATGGGCATATGAAATAGTTGCTATTAGTGGCCTTAATTGTTAGGTTTTACTTATATTTTTTTTGTGTTATGATGATTCTAATCGTGTACATGTATTCGATGTGTATACATATACTTCCAGAACATTTTTAAAAGTAATTGTAGAATATGTCCGGTGCTCCCACGGTCTCCAAAGATTAAAGTTACTTTTGTATCCTTAGAATAATTGTTTAATTGTGTCTCATTTTTTTTATATCCAACTTATTCTGAATATTGAAAATCTGAATGCCTTTACGGATTGTAGATGGTGTACGGAATAATTTTTGCACAATCACTAAAATGTTGAAGGTGTGTCCCTGGTCTTCGAATATCATGCAGTCCGTGAGTTGCAAAATTGAAAGGAGGTTAGAGGAACCTCCGGCGTTGGGCCGGAGGAAGCCCTTCTGATGCCTAAATCAGTATTGTGATCAATACATGAACAAGCTAATGTGCAAAGATCGAAAAATGATAAAAGGTGTTTGTGTGGAGTATGGGGATGAGGTGCTCATACTTGAGTCTTCCTAACTTTGAGCCTTCACCCATATTTATTGAGAAGAGTGGAGAGTTACTTACAAATTGTCCCTGTCTCTGACATGCCTACTTGTTTAGCCTTTGACTAATAGCTGTCTTTTTAGTTTTAGGTCATGCCCCTAAAGCCTTATGCCATCAATTGCAGTCACTTTTGTTAGAAGATGTGACCTATCACAAAATGTCCCATCAAATGCCCCCAGCTTTTATTTCCTTTCTAATACTAGAAAGGAATTAAAGCTACAAAGAATATTCATGTTGCCTTTGATAAGATATAGCTTAGGATAGATATGTCGAGATCTAATATATGTAATCAGAATGATCATGAAGCCCGAATCAAATAAATAATAGCATGTGCAGAGTTCTAATGTACATTTCATTCCTAACAGAATACCAAGATCAATATGTGTAGAGCTCAAAGATTCTATAACCAACAAATGATAATCTTAATAGCCGAAACTGTTCACATATCAGATATCATAGTTGATATT